ACACACACACACACACACACACACACACACACACACACACACACACAGCTTTGAGAATTTCCTCCGTGATTCACCATAGGTCAGCTCAACAGCTGCTCATCCCCTCAGCCAATCAAACAGGAGCAGGGAGCAAGAACCCCGCGTGAAAGCGCGCCAATTAAAGAACCTTAAATTAATCCAAGCAATCTTCCCCGTCTTCTCCTCTTGCTACTCCTCACTGACAGATTGAATGCCATCCATCACATCGCTGCCAGTTCCTCAACTGACCAATTTACTATGAGAGAAGGTGAATTAAATCAATGTTTTAAAGGCAAGTGCGGGGTGGAAAATAAATCAATGACAAACAAATCTCCATGGCGGTGGATGAAAAGTAAAATCCTGGGGGGAATGCCAGCAAAGGGAAGGCAAATCAAACAAGGTGCAGTGCTACCATATGGCCCAATACTTAAGTAATAATGTGAAATGAACACTACAAAAGAGTAAAGCCATACATCAAAGTTTGATGGATAGATTCTACAGGTTTCTGCTCACAGAGATTCAAATCTATTATAATCATCTGGACTGAAAGACATGGCACACTTTGTTTTGTGTGTTATCTAAACTTTGTGTTTTATTTGACGACCTATGGTCTTCTCAATGCTCCAAACACATCAGCACTCTGCTATTACTGTGGCTCGTGTCTGACCTGCAGCACGGTCTGGATCTTGGCAGAGACGTCGGCCTGCTCGTACAGCTTGATGCCCTCCTCGTGGGGCCCGCGCGGGCACTGCACCGCGATCCGCTGCAGGTGGGCCAGCACCACGCTGTGCGCCTGGGCCACTGCCTTGAACTTGTCAAACAACAGCTCCAGCAGATCCAGCAGCAGCCTGTAGAGGGAGCCAGAGGGAGCCGAAAGGGAGGGCAAAGATGAGCAACGGGAGGGATGGGGGAGGAAAGACGAGGAGGAGGAGAGTGGGGGAGAGAGAGTGGGGAGAGATTTAGAGAAGTGAAGCAAAATTGATGTGAGACATTTTGTTTTTTCACTTTTAGAACACATTTATTTGGAAAGCCGGCGCAGCATTCACTTGACAGTTTATTAGTTAGGAAAATACACGACTTCTACAGCAAATAGCTTGGCCTTGGATTTCTGAAAGAAGAAAACAGAAAGCCACCCAGGAATACAGCTTCTGTTTTAATATTAGAAAGAGAGGAAACGTAGGAGCGTGGTGTGATTGCTCCAGCCAGCCAGCACACCAGCTAACAGATTTGTTTTTCCCCATCACAAGCAAAGACCAGAAAAAGTCTCCACACCCCGGAGTATTCAGAGCAGCTGAGACACGCCGAGGATCGTGGTAAACGGCATCCAAATCCGTGCATTTCACATTTACACCATTTAGGGTGTTTCGGTTACCTGTTTTCATTTACATTTTGTGTTCAGCACGCACACACACACACACACACACACACACACACACGCACACACGCACACACGCACACACGGCTGTATTTCTCCTCCAGCAATAACCCAGCGCCTGAGCCGGCTATGAGGGAAGGCGTGAGCGAGCTGGACTCGAATGAACAGCTACTCTCATTAGTTCTAAATGGCTCTGGCTGAAGAAGAGAGCACACAGCTCACAACCAAAAGAACCTTCCCACTTGATGCGAGTGCTGCACTCTGGGTCGGAAACTCTCGGCAGCTTCGTCTCCACTTATGCGTCCACGCAGACTTTGCTGCACCAGCTTTCTAAGCAAGGACAAAGCTTTCAAAGTAAAAGAGGGAACACAGGTTACATTAGTTGAGTCTGAATGAGTATAGCCAGTTCACCCCATGCTAGTGAGTGGCCACTTTATTTTAGTGGAGTGATACGACAGTGAAATAAATATATAGTGTTTGTCTTACACTTGTCATTTAGCCCGCTCCTCTGGCTTTTATTTTTGTTATTGGTGGAGACCTTTTCTATCCAGAAGGACAGATAAACAGAATGAAAGTTTGCGGTTGCAAACCAAAGAAGCAGAGACTGCCACAAGCGAGCGTTCCATCTATTAAGTATACTCAAAAGCACCTGAGAGCCTTCATTAATACCACGTCAATACGAGTTAATGCTGCGAGAAAAGAACGCACGCTAAAAGTTTTGTGAAGTGGCCAAGGATTCCTGGGAAGGTATCCGGATAATGTAGAGGCAATACGGATGCTTCACTGGGGGGCATTTGGGTTGGCTGTCTGTCACTTGCCGCTACTTGACGCTACTGTCTGTCACTTGCCGCTACTGTCTGGCAGTAGCGGCAAGTAAATGTTATTAATGGAGAGGAGAGCAGGCACGAATCACTGTGAGCTATAACTCAGCCGATGGAAGATGTTCGTGAGACGGAGAGAGAGGAGCTGTTAAATGCCAACGAGCCAAAGGATTCTCCCTCCCTCCCTCCCTCCCTGATGTATAAACGGACAAACTTTCAGAATTTGACAAACAATTCATGGTCGTGTATGCCCACGTAGAAGTGGACACACGCAAAATGTACGGCTCTGACCAGGACCACTTATTTGGTTTAGTTTCTCAGCACACGTCACTTTACCCCTCAGAGACACACGCAGGTAGATAGACAGACACACACACACACACACACACACACACACGAAGTGTAGTCAGCCTAGTCCTCCTCATTATCTCCCAGTGGAGGCCATCCTAATCCATATCGTCTGTTCTTTGAGGCCTCACTTCTCATTTACCCTCAGGATCGAAGCTCACACACGTCAGGAGAGACAACAGGGAGCACACACACGTCTACATAAAGTCTCTGACGAACTGACCGGCACCTCGTGTGTGTAGGGGGGGGGGGGCTGTCAGCCACAGAAATGATAGTAAATAGGAGCCTGCAGAGTGTTTAAAGAACAACTTTTGAAATATCAACTATGCCCGGTCACCCTGCTGTCGTACACAGATCCACAGAGTAGAAACACATCAAAGACCACTCTACTGAACAGGCAGAAGAAGAAGAAAAAAAACAGTATAAAAGAGACAAGCAATCAATCTTGTGATCAATGTGCTTTTCTTGTTTTTAAATTGGATTTCAAATACTTTTTTCTTTATGTTTTTTGGTCATTCAAGCATTTCTTCACTTTGAATCAGCTTTCTTTCTGAGGGATTCAGAATCTTTTTTATATACACACCAAAAAAATAAAAGAAATATGCCTCGTTTTTTTTTGGTTCAACAAGACTGCTTTGATGTAAATTAAACTACTCACAGATCAGCGGTGCATGATAACTTGTGGGAACCTGTATGGAGTATCTTACTAAAGGTAAACATCTAGTGAAAGGAAAACGCACCTCATTGTGTCCGATCACAGAGGAAGCAAACGAGAACATAAACCTCCACCAGTAAGCCGCACGCCGCCGTAAAGTGCTTAAGTGTTGCAGTGCTATAAAATATAGTGTGCAATATGCAACACCATTGTTCCCTACAAGTGGTACGCTGGCTGGAGTTTCCATAGCAACAAGCCTCGACTTTAAATTGAAGTGAACATAGGCAGAAAAGGTGTGTACCCACACACACACACACACACCTCTAAGTGTTCGCCCGAATGCGAACGCTCCGACACGTATGCGGTGTTAAGTACTCGCACGCATACACACAAGAAGGCAATTTTAAAACAATCTGTAAGGAGTAGAGCTGGCAATGAGCTACAAGGTGGCCGCTTACATCGAGGTCAGATGACATTCAGCAGCAACCGGAGAGAGAGGGGAGGCAGACGAGGCCGGAGAGAGCATCCCTGACAGAAAACAAGACGTTCCTCTTAAATGGTTCGGGATCAGTGGACTGAGGCCTGCGTTTCCCCAAAGTCTGCAGGAGCCGATGCGACTGCTTCTTAAAATGTAGCCGTCCTCTACGGCAGGTGTGAAGCCGTTTGTGTTTGTGTGTGTGTGTGTGTGTGTGTGTGTATAACCGTGACTTGTCTAGGTTTAAAGCAGCAGAGAATCTGTTTTCATGGTCTGAGGCGGTCTTTACTGGGTTTCACACCTGGTTGACTGTCTGACTACGAACACCCTGGGACTGCATTCACAACATGTTGTCTACCGCCCTCACCGTCGGCTGCACACATACGTACCTAACGACTGGTTAGGTGACCAGTCCAAGCTATAGTAGGAGTTATAAACGGCTGTACTGTATTAGTAAGGACACACGTGATTGGCCACCTTGTGCTTAATGACACTGTGGAACTGAGTCTAATGTAACAATATTAAAAACTCTCGTCTGGATAAAATACCGAGAGGATTACAAGTGACAGCTTTATTAAGGTATTTAATCTGTAGCATCAACGGTAGCTGCATAGCGCCGTTTACACTGATCCTTTTTTGGAAACATTGCTGATTCTACTAATTATTTCTAATCAGGCAAGCATCATCATTTCAAATATATGACTTTAATCTAAGAACTGCTTATAGTTCCCTCTTCTTGGCTATCTGCTGACTGTATCTCCTATTCCCAATTCATTTATTTCCTACTATTAATCTCCAGTTTTCACTGATTAATAGCAATCCTCACTCTTCAGGGAATCGGTCTCCACACTCAGGAAGCCATGAGATTTTACCACAGTGCCTTCCTCCTTCAGTCTGTGTGTCCTTACCCTGCTTGTCTCATTGTGACTGTACCTTGGCTGGCTCTCCTGGGCCAGGTTCTCTCCTCTCTGGTAAGCATGGTCAGCTATCTGAGTGGTGGACCTCTTGACGATCTGTTTCAGCTCGGGTTCCAGCCGCTCCATTATGGCTTTGATGGCCTCGGGGATTTTCTTCAACTTGGCCAGAGCCTTTGAGAAAAAAAAGGACGATCGATGGAATCAGTTCACTTGACGCAAGGAAGGAAACGGCAGCGCAGAACACACGGAGTGGACGTAACAGAGCGGAGGCATGGAGATCCACAGTGTGTGTGTGTAGTGTTGTCCAATCTACCTTGATGAGGATGCCCATGAACTCAGCACTGTTCTCCTCTGGATCCACCTCAGGGAGGTCCGCTTGGTTCAACTCCCGCATGTCCTGCTGCAGCTCACGCACTGAAGAAAGCACACACAGAGTAACCGCTCCATCAATTTCACACAACTAGATATGTCAAGATTGTGTAACAAACTTCTTAATAACACTTCAATAACATACTATATCTTCCTCTTTTAAACGCACACACACCTGCACCTATCATGTTGTCACCCCCCCCTGTTCATGCTCTTTCCATCTGACTTAGCCACATTAGCAGCTAAATTGAGAGTGACAGCGTGGAATGACGCTCTAATTTCCATTAGATAGGGCCTCCCAATTCCCCATCAAAGCACGTTAAGAGAGTTAATGTTTATGGCAAGTTAATGGACTTTGGATGCATTTCCTCTTTTCCCCCCCATTCCAACTGGAGTTTGTGTAATAATTATGACAATTACTTGCTACAAATGAGGTGCTCTAATGCTATTAGACAAAATGGCAAGCTAGGCCACTGATGGAAGCCGGCTGATGTGTCGTGATCACAGTTTGTTAGCATGATGGTGCTAGGCACTTACCAGCTGGCGCTAGCTCATCGGCACTGTTTTCTTTGCATAATGTGGGATGCTGTGGTTTAGCCTTTCACTTTAGGCCTACAGGGTGGGCGAACTAAAGGAATATTTACTATGAATTTGTGGTGATTTGTACGTTTGATTGCGTTTTAAAGTCGTGACACGAGCATTCACGGTGGTGGGAGAAGCTCAGTGATAATGAGAAGCGGAGCTGTATAACTGAAATGATAGTTGTACTGTAGGCGACATAAGCCTTCAGTGAAGTAAGAGCTAAAGAGATAGAGCAGCAATGAGCCAATATGTTTGTGGAGACTGAGTGGTATGCACAGGCATCGACAGAGCTGAGAAGAAACTGTGAGTCGCTAACTTAGAACGCCAGGAGTGGGTGGTGAAAAAAAAAAAAAAAAAAAAAAAAAAAAAGTGCCAGGCTTAATATAAAAACTCAGAAACACCAAGGGAACACAGAGTTATTGCAAGATTAACTTCTTTCATTATCTCCTTGTTTGCGTTCCTCTGTTCTCTGCCTGGGAGGAATGCAGCGCCGACTCTATGCCCCAGCATCCAAGAGAGAACTCATACATTTCTGAATACAGTTATAGTCGGCATCATCAGTCCCTGTTAAAGCGCCGGCTACCAGTTTGAGCGTAATGAATGCCGTTCCCCTGCTGTGATGACAGAGATGCTGGGTGACTAATGGCACAGATAGTGGGGGGGGGGGGGGAAGACAAGATAATTATAATGTTAGCAAGGGAAATGTATATTACGATCATAGTTTAAAAGTGTTGTGACATATAGGGCAAATAGCGAAATGTAGGTGTGTGTGCAAAGAGCATCAGTGGTACGTTTGTCCTTTGTACAATAGTTCGGATCAGCAGTTTCTGGTGCATTCAGTTATACCGTGTGTGTGTGTGTGTGTGTGAGAGAGAATGATGCTAATGACTTCATTATCACTAAGGATATCAGCACAGAGAAAGTCAAATTGCAAACTGAAATCCACACACTTTGTTATCCAAAGAGACCGACAACACACTGCTTTGTCGGTGTGTTTATCTCTGTAGTTCTCCTGACGTAAGCTTAGAACAAGTACTCCCTCTTACTCGCCTATCTAATGTAGGGGAGGGTCTAAAGATCATGGGAACATACCACTGCTGGATCCGGGCGTGCTGAACTGTGTTGAATCCAGAAGCTTGCGTGGGGTGGACAGGCTGCTGACGTCCAACACGGCGATCGGAGATGCGTCTTTGGCCGTGGAACTGCGAGGAGAAAAACAACCCAGAGACCCATAAGTCACGTTACTGAATAACTGTATGACAGGAATAGGCTCAAACTAACTCCAAAAATCTGGAGTTATAGCTTCTTTCATACACATATAAAAGTTTAGTATGCGCCAACAGAAACCTAACCCGGCCTTCTCTAACAAAAACAATCTAAGGTTGTAACAAATAAGCCCCGCATCTATGGGTGGGATCGGTGCTGCTTTCCAATGAGCCATTTATCAAGCCTTAAGCCGGAGGTTGGAGCAACCCGGGTCCTTTAAGTCGGGCTGTATAAACACAGCGCATCTGCTAAGTGAGCGGGGTGTATGGAGGCTGGCTTGTTGTTAGAGGCAACCCAACACAGGAAGGCCAGGACCTGTCACTGGCTGACCCCCCGTAATAAATCACTGTACTTCAGCAAAGCCCCGCCACCGTAATTACTGCACCTCACACACTCACACACACACGCGTAAAAAGGGGCAAACAACACAACAGCATCAACGGTGTGTTTCGAAGTCATCGTGCTAAATTATCCCGAATAAGTCACACGGCTGCATCATGAAACTAAGAAACTGGCCCTCGGGTCATGGAGGCAGAGCTTGTTATTCTCCTCGTGACTGCAAAAGCTGCTTCTTTTAACTCTATGTGCTGAAACTGCTAGTAATATATACACACACACACACATACACACTTAGAGTCATGATATATAGATGTATGCGTTTATATATGATGTCTCAAAGTGTATATCTCCCAAACGTCCCATGATTGATTTAGTGATGTTATCTTCTTTACAATAAATTGTGTTTTTCGTCCACCTCTTCGGAACTTCACAGCACGAAGAACAAACATAGAACAACAACAAGTTACACACGGTCTAATTGTTTTTGTCAGTAATTGGTCTCCAGACAGTAAACAATTTGCAAGTTGTCCCAGCAATGGACCAACAAGGCATAATGATTACACGACGATACGGTCAAAAGTTTTCAAAGAAGGCTACATTTCTTATCACGACATAATAGAAGAAGGCGTCCGGTACCTCACACCAAACAAACTGGCTCATTAAACAGTGCGCACTCTTATCCAGCCGAGTATATTAGTGCTAACACGAAGAAAATGAAACTAAACATATTTCAATGTTCGTTGTGCGGAACCATAAAAGACTAACTACAGTTTTGGTAAATCTTAAAGGGATATTAACAAAGAGATCAAAATAAATATATATATATATATATATATATATATATATATATAAAGTTGAATAAAGCGCCCGTTACCCTGGCAGGCGAGCAGCGTTTTTGTCCTTGTTCTTGTGTCCGAGGCGACTTGTGGACTTGATGTAGAGGTGTCGGTGCAGCTCATCAATGAGCACGAGGTGGATGTTGAGCTTCTTGCTGTGTAGCTCCAGGCGCAGATCTCCAAGCCCTTCCACCTGCAGCAGGGGGCCTTCCAAGGACTCCACGGCTGACACCTGCATAGGAGACAACAGAACAGCCAATCACAGGTTAGCCCGAGCTGTACATTTCAACTTTCAACCGTCACACAACCAACGTGGGAGGGTGGAGGAGGGAGGGCTGCACATCCAATTGTTTGTCTCCTACAAAACTCAATCTTACAGACAATTATGGACAGGAAAAACCACAGGATCTCTATGGCGTAGTATTGAATTCTTACCCAACAATAACTGCGTATGGGCCATACAGAGACAATACATTGAATTTATCATCACACTAACCTGTGGTTAGTGCTGCTCTGTTGGTAACAAAACAAATCTGTCCAGATGTGATCTGGTGTCAAATGGAAAGATGATTGTAATGATCAAATTGGCCAGTGCAATAGTGAAGCTTCACTCCATACAATGAAGACGAACAACCACAATGACATTACCGTTATTGTTCATGGGTTGAATAAACTATTAATACAATTAATTTATAATAACTTATCTTGTTTTCAATTGACCTATGAATATACATACAAATATGTACAATCTATGAAAAATATATTTCCTTCGAAGAAATGATATAAAGTTGTCTCATGCCCTCCTGAGTCACCCAGTCTCCCTCACTGCCTCCCTATTTCCTCCGTTTTCATTAGCAGCAGCGGTTGTGTCCTGTTTGCAATTAATAAATCTTAATGCCATAAAATAAGATGTGCCAGCCTGTATACTTACATGTATTGTATGTGCATTACTGTGTGTATTTCAAGGGCACTAATGGCCAGATGATAGCGCTGTGAAGGATACTTGCATGGCCAGGGCAGGACGGAAGGGAATGGGTAGCCGGGGGGGATGGGGACGCAGGGGGGGACGCTGGGCAGAGTGCATGGGTCAAGTGTGTGTTGATGCAAATGAGAGCCACATTAGTGACAAGATGAGCTGCTGATCAGCCCGCTACGGTTTAATAGAATAACTCGGCATGCCTGCAAGGCTCTGTGTGTCCTGTGTGTGTGTACACCTCCCAGATGCGTCTGTGTATGATTATATGTGTATGATTGTACGACTGTAAATCATTTAACACTTAAGTGTCTGTATGTGTGGGGGGGGTCTCATTACCATTGGGCTGGGCAGACAGAGCAAGGCTGGTTAACATCATTAGGGGGCCGGGCCTGTCAGAGTAATGAGGGAGAGGAAGCCTCTCGTGAATTTGCTCAGAAGCAAGAGACATTGTGAGAAGGATAGGATGGGGAAGAGAGTATGACAGGTTATCACTAGCTCTGAGCTCCGGGGGGGGGCGAGTTTTATGTGTGTGCACCTGGGTTTTGTGACACTAAAGGAAACAGGAAATGAGAGAGGATACAGAAGAGGAGAGAGGAGAGGAGAGGACATTTTCTGGAACCAAAGCCAGTCTCGTTTTAACCGAACCCATGGGGTCTAAAACTGCCATTCAATAGCAGACAGAGAGCATAGTCTGAATTCTAATTGTCAACCCTTAGAGAGGCTCACATAAACACACACAATGTGAGAGCAAGAGACAGTGAAGGAGAGAGAGGGGCGAGGAAGTTATTCCTGGCTAGTCTGTACTCTTGCCACACTACACAGCACATGTAATAATAAAGATATATACCGCATGAGTTAGTAAGCGCAAACCGTTCACAACTTTTTGCTGAAGAAAGAATAAAAGACGGGGGAGGAATCGATTAGAAAAAGGAGAGAAGAAGCAACAGAAGGCGCAAGTGAAAACCAGGGAGTCGTTAATCTGACAGATGAGAGCGGTAATGAGTGACAGCGTGATGGGAATAAACACTTCAGGGACTCTCAGAGAAGTGACACCGGCAGTATGATGTTACAACCGAGGGAGTGCGTCGACGCTGTAGACAGCAAATCGGGGGGAAATGCATATTGTTATAGAAACCTAATTGTCATATTCGATGAAATTATTCCTTTGGCCAGTTTTAAGTTAAGTTTGTATCGAGAGATTTTTCACACTCACACAACTTTCAATACACACTCCAAATACATTTCACAGGTTTATGTGCACCGGACCCAAGCAGGCATTTTCTTTATTTACCTTTTCATCAGTAAGGCAATATTTTGAAACAAGAATCACATGACTTTTATGAGTAAACAATACCCGACCTTACAAAGCCATTACTTGCAAACATCAACTTGCTCAAAAGCAACATGCACTGAGTATCCGGTATGTGTGCACTTTAATTAATAATAAGTTATTATTTTAGCTCACAAAGTTCATTTAGTCAATCACGTCAAAAGTGCAGGAAGTGAGAATAAATGTGGAAAGTTGGAGGACTTCTGTGTTAGTTCATAAACTTAAGTTAGGGTGGGTATTATGTACTTTCGTTTTTTTATATTTGTTAAAAATGGTCTTTTTTGGAAACCTGGTGTCTGTGGCTGCACTGTACCGAGCCATCTCCCCGTCCTACCTATCTGCTTACCTGCGTGCATTATGATATGTTAACATGGAGGAGTGGCTTTGGAGGAAAACCTGAAGGGACGGGCTGAAGTTTTAACATCTAGCGTACTCTCGCTGGTTTTCTCCTATGTTGCCTGTCCAGGCTTTAAGTGCGGCTTATTTAAAGTGGACTTTCCATAAATCATTTATTCATGAACTGCATAAATATGTTACCAAAGCAAAAAGTAGAACGAATGCATCCAACAGCATTCTGATATGTAGAGGCGTATTAAACTGTCCTTTAAAGTATGCTTTTTACATACCAACGGAAGCGCACTATCCTGATCAAGTAGAGCGTATTTGAAGTGTGCAAGACAGCAGCGGAGCGTCCAACTGACTTTGAACTTTGCACAACCTTTCAAACACACTGTACTGACTTAGCACAGGTTGAATGAAGTTCCACTTCTTTCCACCCCCACACAGAGGATTCTTCATGGTCTTTTGGGCATATCATCATCCCTCCTCTTCAGATAACCCCATTTCAGCAAACTAATTATTACCAAAGTCTAAAAAGGAAGATGTGTGGGTGTGACAGAGAAGGGAGAGAGGAAGTAAAAAGGAAAAGGAGCAGAGGGATCACAGAGCCCGGTCGTTTGGTCCTCAGTACCATCCTTTTTTCGGCTCCTCCCTGCCAAGCATTCAGCAAAACACACATCAAAAGAACGAGCGCACACGCAAACATACACACACCTGCAGTGCCTCCACTGCACTTAGATGATGTTCTATTGAAGTAAAAGAGCTGCACCCAGCAGACTGTTAGAGCTAGAAAAGGATTCTTTAGAGAGATGAGAGGTGCCAGGAAATCAATCTTAGCATGAACACTTCATAGAAAGCGGCGTTTATGTATGTGTACTGCGCACACCGCGGGACACAGAAGAAGCCTCAGTTTCGCCCCGAATGCATTTACATAAAGACTTCAACAACAAGACAACAAAGTGTTCCTTTTTTTACATTTCTCACTTTCTTATTGCTTACCGTCACACTAAAAACATATTTGGTGAGCAAATCTATCAAGCTATTTATTTTTTCTGTCCTTATTGCCTCTCTGTATAACTGAACGTCTTCACCACGACCACGTCTCTGGCCATGAGTCTACTCACCAGCATATCTGTGGCATGAAGGTAGTGCTTGCTGGCCATGTAGGCCACCAGCCGCTGAGGCACCTGCTTGATGCTCTCGATTTCATCCAGCAGCTGGAGGACGTGCTTGTGCTCGATGCCCTCTATCCACAGCTTCCTCAGCTCGTCCCGTTTGCAGTGGAGCAGCATCTTACAAGACAGGAGGTTCTCCTTCACCTGCAGGAAAAAAGTAGGCCACAATATTTAATTTTAATTTTATGTGCAGAAGCACCAATATAGATGCAAAATAAAGAAGAAGAAAAAAAAGAAAGGACATAATTCATATGTGATCAGTGTAGAGGGAATGTCTGAAATGCAGATGAAAGTCATCATCTCCCTTGAAACACTTGATTTGCTGGCGTGCATTAAAACCTTTTTTTTTTGGAGGAGTTATTTTTGGCCTTGCACACCGACACAGGTGTTTCTACTTCTGGCTGATTAGCTGAGCTGATTGGTTGTTGGGCAGAGCTACAGAGCTGCAGCCACCTAGAAGGTCCCTTCCTTCTGTGATGGAGAGTATGCAGTGTTTAATTAAAAGCAGATGGAAGCAAAATGACACAAACACACACGTGTCACATTGTCTCCCGTCTGCAGGCCTATGCAATGGTGACTGGTAAAATGTATAAGTCATCATTTTAAGATGGAACCGTGCCAGCCAGCACACCTTCGTTAAAATTCAGTTTTATCCTCCTGAGAAAAAGCACAAAGACACTGGATGTCTTTTTTGCCAAATCTGTGCTGGCTCGCTCATGGAAGGGACATTAAAGGTTGACCTTCACATTTTCAATGTTTTTTCAAAGTGTAATAGAGAAAAGGATGTCCAGAGGCTAAAGATTCTGACTTCAGCTGACGATTTCTAAGTAGGCTGCTTCCTTCTTGGGTGAAAAGGATTCATGTAAATTAAGTCAGTATTTTAGTCTTTAGCCGAAAAACTGAGATAAGAAAGCTTTCATTTATGAAGAGACAAATGAAATAAAAAAAATTTGTTTTTAATTACACAACTTACGAGTGGATGCTCTGAAATCCATCGGAAACAAAGTACGCATGAATACCAGTAATGGTTTTCCTCAACCATCCAGTGTTTTTTTGTCAGTAAGTCTCTCATTTCACCTGTTTGATCTTGTTGCGGGAGCTGGTGATGCGCTCGGTGATGCTCTGGTAAGTCCTGATGGCGGTGGTGAGTTCGGCATAATGCTGAACAATCAGCTCATCTAAATCCCTGTCGCACGTCTCAAAGGCTTCCTCCAGACGACCCTTCTCCGTCTCCCTGTCCTGCACATCGTCACTGCTGGACAAAGTCCTGCAATGGAGAAGAGGGAACAGAAAGGTAGATTCACCTAAGCATCAATGTTGGAGTGGAGAGCAGAGACCCTCAATTACAAGCGAGGTTTTAGCAAAGTAGGAGCTCACATAAAGCACTTGAAGGCAGCATGAGGTAGAGGGAGGAAACAGACTTTGTCCACCAACATACCCTACAGTATCAGACAGCATGGCAACATGAACAGCTACATTTAGGGAATGGAATTTGCAGCTAAAATGTCAGGTCACCTGCCACCATGGCACAAAGGTTTCCCTTATATTAAGAGATATCATTTTTAAAAAGCTATTTCAAAGTTCAAAATAGTCAAAGATAAAGGTTTCATGATATATTCCACACTAGACAAATGAGTGGCTGGTAGAAACGTTCAGTGACCTGCCACAGTGGCAGGTGAGGAAAAAAATGTGAGATCCTGGGTACATTCATGCTGTAACAAATAGGTCCAACAGTGGTCAGTGTTGCCAAATCAGATTGCCAGTTTCCAGCCTAATCACAAGTGAAAACCCACCCAGAGTCCAAACCATAACCTTGCCACAAGCTCATGTAAAACTGTAACATGTGCAATAAATATAAAGCTTCAAATCATGACAGCCAAAGATAAATGTTGGATAAATAGGCTATCGCAACCCACGAAGAGTGCAGTCAGGCAACCAAATACACAAATGGAAATTGCCAATGGTGACGTGAAGGTAAGTAGGTCCTCCATTGTCCCTCATAACAATTGAATACAAGTCATGTTGTCAAATAAAGCATCTTTTCACATATTTGGCAGAACATTTGAAGATGCTCCTCTGATCCTCACTTATAACACTTATAAGGCCCGTGGATATTCCTGGCCTCCACTTTGGGAACCCTTTAACTCTTTCCCATCGTGTCCATGTTCACTTTCCTCTCTCCAAACGAGTTTTACAAGAGGAAGTAAGGTTGACTACAGCTGTCAAACCGTTAGTTGCACACAGTCACAGTATCTGCAGTGATTGCCTCTCATGTAATACTATGTCGTGCAGAACATTTTTCTTCCAGTTGTTAAGATTTATTTATTAAAACATCGCCTTTTGTGACACGAATAATATTTGAGTTTCAAATGTGCAAGAGCCACGTACGGTGGCCTATATTTAACCTTTTCTTCTGCTCCAGGAGTGAATAAAAAACTGCAATTAATATTAACTTACATTTACTCCTTAAATTAATAATGAAAATAGCAAAGTTGTGAGCTATAATTTCTCACATACAACCAACAATACAGGAAGGATGTTGCTATCGTAGCTTTAGCATAAAAGCTAGCTGTCATCCCGTTAGAGAGCAAATACGAGAATAGTTCAAAAGCTCTCTGACTTCTTATGAACGTTGTATAGTTCATATAATGTCTGTGACAAACCTTACCTTATGACAGAGATAAGAAGACCAGAGGGGTCTTTGTTTTTGCTAACTGCACTCCTGTATCTCCCAGTCTCAGCTGCCATTTTTCCAGCTGCGGCACCCAAACAGGAAGACAGGAGCGCGAGCCAGTGACGCGGAGGAAGGAACTGGGAGTTGTAGTTTTAACACGGAAAGTAATTCTGTCATTCTGCTTTGGTCACTGTCACACATTTGAAGCGTATCTGCTCTACTCAGCAATTTCACTTTGTAATCATGAAATACATTTGTAGATAAATCAGCCATTCAAATAATCACATTTAAATGTTATATTATTTTGTATTTATTCTGTATTGATCTCCATCAACAGGGATCTGTTTCATGGCACACATCCAGTGTGTTGAGCACAATGGTACAGTCAGATACTGATTCCGGTTCCTGTGTGGTGGGTTGATGAGGAATAATCTTGACTTATTTTTTATTTTATTTTGTTTTCAACACAAATATCACAAGGAAAAACTTTTTCACTGTAACATTTTCAATCCAGTCCTCTTGAAACTGATAAAGGAAAGGTTGAGCAGAGAAAAAGGAGGGAGACAGTGTGTGTCAGTGAGTTAATAGCCTCCCCCATTTAGAACATATAGTGGTGGATTTGGCAGGGCTCTCCTGTGCTGTATCTCTGGCAATCTCTGCTGTACCAATAAGAATGGGAGAGGGCATTGATTCCGGACCAAAGGGGGTCGATTCCCAGCAGCCTGGATCCTGATTGATGCTCTGGTGGACTGACGAGATAACATTCTGGGTGATCTTTGTGTCTCTTGTTAAAAAAAAAAAAGAAGAAACAATCGCTGTGTCACGCGGGAGCCACGGTTTTTCTTCTGAAGGCGCCCAGCTTCCCAGGTCCAAGTTTAATTTTGAAGTTCTTATCACCTTTCCCTGCAGCCTGTGTGCCATCAGTCCAACTAATCTACAGGGCTCCTTTTCTCCAATAACGCAGCACCAAGGTCATTTCTTTCAGCTTGACGTGTGTTTGGACAGTAAGTGATTGCTTTGACTGACTGGCCTGTGTGTGGATTAAATACAAGGGCAATACGGTCTTTGTAGGACATACCTTTATGATCTGTTACAATAGATCGAAATGCAAATGATGCATCTCAATTGCTTTGTGTCCTTTATCTAAGGTTCAGTAAAGAATATATAGAAGGCAACGTTTACATCACTTTGAATAATAGTGCAACCTCTTAAAAAAGAAAACTGTACATTTATTCAACTTAAACGTTGAAATACATAATGTGACATAATGCAGCTCTAGAAGCTGTTGACTACGGTAGAGGAGCTCTACAAGCGAAAGTCGTTTAATTATTCATGTCATTGGTTTTGGGAATTTACTTTTTATGTAGTCTATTGGTTTTTATTAAGTGATGTGTCACTTTTAATGTATGCTAGCTTTGATAGAGTTTGTGTACATACAGTATTTTCACCTTTCCAAAAACACCCTGTGGAAACGTGTAACAAGATGTTGTCCACTGGTGATTAAGTAGATACGTCTTTACTTGTTTCCATGTGCCTCATATCTCCAACTTAATGCACCACCTTAAGGATACAGCACCAAACTCATTTTACATTTTTGGTTTCATCTCATTTCTTTACCAGACATGCTTGATTCTACTGATATCTTCATTGGTAGGAGCGCTCAATTTTGCAGAGATGACAGAGAAATTAAATTAGATAAGAATTTATGGATGTCTAATGTGGAATCAACTCAAGCACCATTAGATCAAGGCAAAGTAAGAGCTATTGCCAAAAGTAGTAATAATACATCAAAGTTAAGAGGATAAAGCAAGTAAATATCCCCTCTATCAACTTTTCAGGAACTAACAGACATTTAGGACATGCATGGTAAGACGGTAATGATTTTTATGATTATATTTGTTGTCGGTGTTGGAGTCACCGCTTCATATCATCTGTTGTGAAGTCAATTCTTTTCAGGACAAACCATCACATTCAGTGATTGATAGCCTCTCATCCTTAGCTTTCTTATCCAATGTGCTCATTTGATGTTTATGTGTTGCTATTGTTAAATAGTTTTATGTTAAAATATGTATTTCCGATAAAAGGTCTCTATTGTGCAAAATGTTTGTATGTGAGTCCTCTGCGTATATTCAATTATTCAATAACATTACAGCATACACAACCGCAATGAATTCTTAAAAGGGTTTTCATTCTTTTATGCTTGCACAGCATTGCAACACAATACAGAAAAATTCAAAAACACGAAAAATCAGCAGAAAAGAGCATAATAAAAAACGGTGTTAGATTATTGTCTGAATGATATATTAAGTTTGGAGGATTATTCTTATGAACTGTCATTCCTCATAATGTCCTCTCTCCTCGAAGCGTGTCAAATCTCCTGCTTCAATTTCTTGTCCTGCAAGGCTGTGTTTTTGAAATGGAAACGATGTATCACAAGGCAAAGAAAACATAAGATAAAAATAGATATAAAAAACAAGAATTCTTCTGATTAAAATGAATTGATACAATAATAGTAATAGCATTATTAGCAGAATGAAAACAATTGCAAACACAAGAGTTTCAGACAGAATTTACCAACAAAGTATGTAGTGCACTGTCCTATTGTCTTAGAGGAAGGCCCTGTAAGTACAATGACTTCTGCACAAGACAGAGTTGACATCTGCTCTTTGTGGAACTGAGGCCTCCAAGAATCAGCAGAGGGCTTAATGTTCCAAAGTCACCAGCAGCCTGTTTTGCTGTTCGGTCTACAATCTAAAACAGGTCACTTCTATCATCAAGGCCTTTCTTGTACATCACTCTTTTTCTGATCACTTGCTTGTTGCTGCTTAAAAATTGTTACAAATAGTTGGATGCTCACCACTGTTGTTAACGCATTCTATGCTTTGTTCCTGCAAGCTTACCCTTACCTTGTTCCATCTCTGTTCAGTCGTAGATTATTTCCCTGCTTGCCTTGCCCCTTTGGATTTGTGTGTCGGTTTTGACTGGCTGCCTGCTGCTGACTGTAAGCCTCCTCACTAGCAAGTAAAGCCGTCTTTTATTACATTAGTTCTGCTTCAGGAGTCTGCTTTTGGGTCCATGAACTGTCCACATCAGTGGTGCTGACTGTAGGATTTTTCTTTTTTGTATTCCCCCATCCCCTCCGCTAGGAGCAGAGGGCAGATTTAAAAAAAAAAATGAATAGCAATACTCCGACACTCATTGTGGAAAATGAATTCAACAGCATTTTTTGTTCACGCATTAATTGCCAGGATTAAATGCTCTGCTATACAATGAACAACTACACACACTGGGATAAATAGCAGCATGTGTTGATGTGTTTCCAACAAAGTGAGGAAAGACAACAATGATGAGCAGAGACATACTCTGCAGAGGAATCATCAATTCATGGCAGAGAGAGAGACAGCAGAATATGGAAATTGTAGATGAGCTTCAGTGTAAGTGGCTGGCATGGATTGAGAGGATTCAAATCAAGTGATGCCAAGAACAATGTCCACTAAATATATATGTGAAGAAGAAATAACAGCTTCAGGACACAAAAAATGATCCGCCTGCTCACCCATTCTCAGGATGTTGGAACATTTGGAACAAAGATTCTATATCAGAATATGGCCACTGAATCTGGTCATTTAATGGGTCTATATCTCCCTCTCTAGTCACTCTACTGCTATTCTCATTGCAGATCTTTTAGCCTTTCAGGGGTTGACAGAATTAGCAACACATTTTGCCTTCTATTTACTGTAATCTTGCTATTTTTATTTCTCTTTTTGTCAGCCCAATTGTTGTTATGCAAGGCTATACATTGACTTGTCCTGTGTTCATTCAAAGTATGTTTTATGTCTTATCACAATATAGATTATAACCTACTTTGGGGGAAAATAACTAACACAGTTAATGTCACAACTTTCCAGTATATCTATGAGAACAATCTATATATATTTTTCCAATAATAGCACTATATTTCTAGATAGTGCTATTCAAAAGCCATATGCACTGATGCACTGATGCTGTCAATAGTGCTGCTCCACTCCTCAGAGCGGCTCCACCGCTCCCACTCTACCGCTCACGATCAATGACCAATGAGAACCGCTGATGTAAGGACGCGGATCACTCTTCTGTCCAATCAACTCGCACGTTCTTCACGCGCGTCATGCTAAGGAAGTGCGTTCCTGCCGAAACGGTGGCGTGTGTGTTGTGGGCCCTAGCTAGCTATACCTGGCTCTCACGCAATTATACTTCACGAAAGCCAACAGTGGATGTCAGTCTTCCATATTACATGTAGATAACTGACACTTTGACAACCTGCGGTCTGATAATGGGAGCGAACAGCAGTACCCGCCGCGTGTCGTTTGAGTCAGATGAGAACGAGAACATATCAGTGGTGAAGGGCATACGGGTAAGTGACAGCATACAAACATGCTTAGTGTTGAGTAAACAAGTGCGTCGTGACTGCTTTAAACCGATACAAGCTAATACAATAATGTACTAGGCTGTATCGTAAATGCTAACCTAACAAGAGTGCTAAGTGGCTCGTCTTAAAGCAGCTATGCTAAGTTATTGCAAACGGACTCCTGGCTGCCTGACTTGCCATCTTAAAGCTAGGTTAATGACTAAAGAAGTATGCAATTCCACAATGCATAATAAATAGCCGCAGCAGTGGCTCGTGCAGTTAACTTTCCAATGTCCTTCTGGGAATGTTGACATTGACGTCACTGGCCTCGTGCTCTGCTGTCTGTCTGTCACTCAATGTATGAATGAAACCGATTTAAACCGGACCGGCTGTTGCATCCTTAAAAGTAATGTTGTAATTTGGGGGTGCTGGTTTAAAGGTGCATGCATGTACACGGAGTGACTGTCGGAGCTGTCAGCTGATGTTAAATATAGATTGAGAGGCTTTAGTCGATCAGATAAGACTTTAGTTGGCATGACTGTCTATTATTACTCAGTAGGCTAAGTGCAGCTGATGTTATCTTTCAATGCCGCCTAATCCTGTTTATGTCAATGCTGTGATGTTTACATGAACTGATTTAATTGCAAAGCTTTGTTTTCTAATGTATAGTTTATCCACGGGAGTTGATAAACTAGAGTTTTGGGAAATATCCATATTTGTTTTGAGTGTCAGATGAGAAGATTTGTGAAGCGAAAAACCAGAAGACGACTTGATTAGCACAAAGTCTTAATTAAAGCAGGGGAAACACTCAAAGTATTTGTATATGAGATATAACCACTTAGTTATGTTAAACTATTTCATTAACTCCATCTCATTCCTCCTCTGAAACTTTTCTCCCACTTTCCTTTGCAGCTTTCTGAGAATGTCATCAACCGCATGAGGGAACCTGATGCTCCTCCTAAACTCCAACATGCTCCCTCTCCACCCACCCTCACTCCTTCTCCTCTCCTGAGGCCAGTTCCTCCCCTCTTTGATCCCATCACCTCCTTGCCTCCTCCCCCTCCTCTTGTCGAACCCGTTGCACCTCCAGCTCCTCCTCCACCAGCTCCGTCTGCCACAGAGACTGTGGCTGCACCTCCACCACCTCCTAAGAAACAGGTAGCAGCACCCACCATCACTGACATGGTGCTTCCATCCTCGTCACCCGCGGCTGCCGCTAATGCTGTCGCTGCTCCTGCTTATGAGCCTGTGGCGGCACCTCCGCCCCCCGCTCCTGCTGCTGTTGAGCTAGTCATTTTGCCAACATCTGTCCCTCCTCCTGCTCCCATTGCTCCCCCGGCTCTTGCTCCCTGCCCTGCCCCAGCTGTGGTGGAAGCAATCGCTCCACTTGCTCCTCCTCCCCTTGCCATCAAACCCACTCCTCTTCCCATAAATCAATGTGTTGCTTCTTCTCCTCCTCCAGTAATTGAACCCATTGCTCCTTCACATGTGATTGAACCCATACCACCTCCTCTTCCTGTCAAAATAGAACCCCTCATTGCTCTCCCTCTTCCCGAATCGGAACCCCTCTCTTCCCCTCCTGTTTTTGAGCCTGTCGCCATCCTGCTTCATCCTTCAGGGGACACTTTGTCCCCGCAGCCTGCTGAGCCATTTGCTGCACCTCCCCTGCCCGAGTATACCGCACCTTGTGAACCAGTTGTACCTCCTCCTCAGCCCCCGGTGGACCCAGTATCCCTCGCTCCTGTCCCTGAGCCAGTGGTAGTGCCTGAATCAGTTTCGGTCCCACCACCACCTGCTGCAGCAGCCGGTGAGTTTTATTCTGATATGCTGAAAATCAGTATTTGTGGTACATTTATAAGGTAGTTTAATCAATGTTAAGGAACAGATTACCTATTTATATATAGAATGGATCATTTAGTTGTGTGAGGATTTACTTAGTGCTTTTTGAAATATTCCTTAGTTTTCTTCGATGTCAGAATCTCCTCTAGCTTCCATTGTTTTTTCCTGGGTTCGTACAGTGGTGATTTTAGACCTATGGAAGCTGCTGGACAAATGTGTGCCTTGTTTCTTCTGACAAGAGACGGGAGTTAATGCTCAAAAACTGCAGCACTAAATTGATCTTGGTGGCTCATGTTATCCTGAAATGTAATCGGCGCTCCTTCAGTAGAATGTTAATTAAAAGGCAAAGGTTATGCGGGAGGATTTGTTTGAAGTCCAGCTACATTGAATTCTAATGTTTATTGTGTGGGTGTTTACTTTGAGCCACTCTAAGCTTTTTGTGTCCAACTTTTCTCGCAGATTGTAATTACTCTTCATTTTCAAAATGGGCCTCACAGTAGCCGTGGTCCTATTATGATTCATTGCCATCCCCTAACTGTTAATGAAATGATTAATTCTTTCTTTTATCAATGTTAATACCTTAATGCTGTAATTAGCGGCCCTCCATTCTGCCTCGTCACAGTGGAGCTCGAGCTGTCATGGTGACCCTTCTCCTTCCTGCGGTCAACATGGTGTGGTTGAACTCTTCAGTAGTGTCTCTGTTTGTCCTGTCAGGAGTTTAAAATGTCTTCGTAAGGACACGGACACACTCACTCCACCTCTCGACTTCTCTCTCTCAAAGTAAAGTTTTTAGTCTCATTGTCTCCCGAGTGTGGGAGCACGTCTGTTATCTCTTGATACATCCGGCAGAGGACATGTGAATGTTACCCGCTCATTACACTGTACATAACGGGGCGTGGGTGCTGCTTCTTCAGAAGGTGGTGTCCGGGGTGTGGGCAGGCCTCCCCATCCTTGACTGGGCTCAATCAGCAAGGTAATTAAAAAAAAGGCCAACTTATGCCACGCCACACTGACTCCGGTGATTAAAACGACACCTCCGCAGTTTCCAACAACAAACTGTGTGTGTGTGTGAGAGAGAGAGAGAGAGAGAGAGAGAGGGCGATAGGGCTTCTGTGATATGACTCAGGACTTTGTGTGTGTGTGAGCCACCTGCCTTTTGGTTTGAGCACAATTTGGACAATTAATATAATCTTCTTTGTCCGTCTGTTTTTCCATTTACTCTGGGGCCACTTTCACAGCTTCATTTCTCTCCGTGTTGAATAAAGTTATTCCTATTCCTCCATTGTTCGAGCCAATTAGTTTTCAGATAAATGCAACAATGTCTCACTTAAATTTGTGACCAGGTCGTCGAGTGCAGTTATTGTGAGAGACTGCTGGCTCTGGACAAATAAAACAACAGAGAAAGGATGTTCTTTACATACTTTCCATCTTCTTGTGTGCACACAGTACATCTGCTTGTTAAGGATTGAGTGTATGTGTTTGTCTGCTGTATTTTTATTGTTGCTCCATAGTCAGTCGCTACAGTTATCATTTTTATTCATAGCTGGCCCTCATCACACAACATATAATGTCTGTTGACATTTACTCAGGTATTTAGTGTATAAACTCTTCTCGCAACGTCACCTCTCGGCTTAATATGTACCAAGCTCCCCAAGTATAATGGAGATGGGGGAAAAAAAAAAGTAAACTTGGACAATTCATCAAGCGCGCTCTTTTTAAAGAAAGAAAAAAATTGTGCGATGAACGTGAATCTCGTTAAAAAAAAGTTGCAAAGTTCAGCCCAATTGTGAAAGGGTAGGACCGTAATGAGGCGCGCATTGATTATGAGCGTCCACCAGAGTTGGGTATCGAGTGAGGCTCTCAGCAGGTTGGCTGTCTCTAAATCACAGGCCTGAGTCAGTGTGTGTGTCTGTGTGTGTGTGTGTGTGTGTGTGTGTGCGCGTGCGCGCTGATTACACCATAGTCAAGGTTGAACCTCCTACACCTTCTCCAATGCGTTATAAATATTCATAGGCCGGAGCCCACACACTGTGCTGGACTAATAGCCTGCTTAAAGATGTCTCCCAGGTGAAGCAGAGCGAATGAGAGGAGGGGGAGACAGGCAAAGGAAACCGACGGGAGAAGTGTGTGTGACTTCGTGTGCATGCATAAATGCGAGTGTGTGAAACTTGTGAAATATATCACTCCGCTTTTGAAACGGACTTTTCCTTGTTATCTCGTGAAAACGTGAAATGATCAGTTTTAGTCCTTTTTTATAACACGAGATTAAATTGACGGGACAGAGTGTGGAGAAAATAGAAAATCCAAAATGGCATCTGCCTGGCGGGGCTGGAAGCTTGCTCTTGCCACTTTTCCTTTTTTCTTTTCTTCTCTTTCCGATGTGAACGTAGTGAAAGGTGTGCGGTGAGCTAGAAACGTGAGGAAGTGGTAATGTTACAGATTATGCCCTCCACGCGGGTCCTGGGGTTAATGAAACTTCTGATGAGAAACGCAATTTGCCGTCGTCTATTATCTCCACTGCCAATAGCCTCTCCTCCTCTATGGGTTCTTCCACAGGGTTTAGTGATTGGTGGAAAAGGAAACGGGGGGGAGACACGTCTAAAAAGATGATGAGTTTTTAATCTCTTTAACATTTGCATGTCCTACTCAGGATTGACACTGGCTCTGTCAATCTGGAATTGTCTCTGACCCGAACCAGCTTCCCTCAAGGACCCCAGACGGTGTTTATCATATCAGAACCTGTTCTCCGGCTAACCCTGCGGGCCTGCTAGCTATCTGAAGCCTCTCTCTGCGGGGCTGGAGAGGAGGATGCGGTGATAAATGGGGAGTTGCTTGGGCTCGCCTGAACTTGGAGGACTTTTTAGAGTTTTACTTTTAACAGTGCACGGCTAAAGGCTTCTATATTTTCAATGGAAAGCGTGAGATCATTCAAAGGGCGGTTGATACAGAAATGCCAGTCGTACTTGATGGAAAAAGTTCATAATGGCAGGATTTGACCTAATGTTATGATACTAAGGGAATGGCCATTGGTGCATTGAGACATTAATGTGAAACACGAAACAATATGATATTCATACAGCATATTGTTGAGTCTCTAGACTCCAGACAGTTCTCTCGCAGGTACCTAAATTACACATTTCTGGACGTCTCACCAACACAGCGCTATTTCTGTAGACAGTCATAGCATATCATCTGATTTTATATTTATGTTCCCTATATGGCGGAGTCAAGATCGTAGCCCAACAGGTTTGTCTCTCCGTCGTAGTTCTTAACAGAGTCGTAATTAGACTCTCCTCTGCAGTGGGATCAATGGAGCTTCTGAGTGCTGTCAGACATGATGGATATTATATTCCCACCCTCTGGACAGTTGGGCGGCAGCAGTCTCTGTCTTTGAGGATGCACCGTGTAGCAGAAAAAAAAAGTTGTCTACTGTCAATCAACGCCTCCGCTCGCACGAGTGTCTCCTCTGAAACCTCCCGCTACCGGCTGCCTGTTCGTTCGCCTTACTGTACCCAACAGTTGTCATGCTGTGAGTTCTCGTCTTGTTTTGTTTGCAGCAGAAGAGAAGAGGCTTTAGAGGTTGGATATCAGAGACAGGAATAAGTTAACTGTAGTCTGAGAGCAAATTGGGTGTGATAAGAAGAAGAAATGCTCGCTAACTTGCTGAGATCTGATGTATCCATGACACTAGTTGCATAAACTTAAGCCCCGTCAGTCAGATCACCAGTATCACATATTTTGTATTTAATTAGTCACATTATAAGTGGACTATCATTTTAGTCTTAACAAAGATTAGAATACATCAAAGGCACTTTTTAGACAATCACAAGAAAATGATATTCCTTTTAAAACCAAAACTCCTTTTTTTTTTTTTTTTTTTTTTTTTTTTTTTTTTTTTGCTACTGCCGCTGAGAAAATATCAATTTGAAGCCCAGAACTGTCGACCGAATTGTTTTTCTTCTTCTTTCCCGAGGAGAGGTTTGTCGAGTGTCATCCTGTCTTTCTGTCCACGAGGTATCTGAAAAGCCTTTTAAAAAGATTTCCTGGACAACTGGTGAAAAGGCTTTGGGCCATGTAATATTAAGGACATTTAATTAGATTATGATGTTGTGGATTATTACGCTTTCTTTTGTCAAAACGATGAAACTTAAGTAGATTTAGGCTTTACAAATCCTAATTATAGCTAATGGTGTGTATGTATGTGTATATATATATGTGTGTGTGTGTGTGTGTGTGTGTGTGTGTGTGTGTGTGTATATGTATATGTATGTGTGTCCACTGGCCTGCTGTTACCACATGTTACCAGGTAATAATGGACTCTGACAATAGGGATTATCCTGTCTAACTAATGCAGTGGCAGAGTAATCTTGACACACTCAGACACCCCCCCATCACTGCAGTGTCGCAGCACACCGCATGGCACTTCTGTCTTCAGAGCACGTTTTGGTCTGGCATCTTTACTTTCATGCTTAATTACCTGCCAAGATAGACCGGTGGAGGCATGGGATCACGCATGTATGACGTCCCTGACATGAATATATGTAGATAGAGTGGTGCGGTGCTGGGGTTTAAGTGTGTGTGTGTTTGTGCAATATAGGCAAGTTTCTGTATTATACGCCTCAATATCTAAGGGCCTTACTGTTTTTGGCACACACACACACACACACCGTACATCATGGCAGCCTGAGGGCCACAATTTCGGTCCCACCTCTCTTCATTCACAGCTAACAGAGAGAACACGCTCAACTAGGGCTGCAACTTACTATTATTTTAATCTGATGATTACATTCTGGATTAATTCATTATTTGGTGTATGAAACATCAGAAATCGGTGCCAAATGTTGCTAGTTTCTCAACATTACCAACCCTAGCTTTATCAAAGTAGTCTTAGGTAATTATTTTAATCGTTGCAGCTCTAGCAACATCCCAGACCAATCTGCTCCAGCAAAACATACACTTCTCAATCCTAATCATAGATAAATTCTTCATTTTGAGCAGCAGATCTTCTGATTTAATGCAGATTTTTCCAACACCTGTTGGAAAAATCCCCAATTTCTCTCTTTTGTTGTTTTTACTTTTTTAGAAAATATGACCCAATATGCTTATTAGCAAACAACAGCTGTCTACCTTTCTCTTTTTCACTCTCTCTCTCTTGCTCTTGTCTTTTTGTCCCCAGTTGATGAAGAGGCCCTGAGGAAGAAGCTCACTGACGAGCTGTTTAAAAGCTTGGAGCAGGATAGGGCAAAGGCAGAGCAAGAGCTGCAGGCCTGGTGAGACGCATGTACACACACACACACACACTCACACTCTTCGCTTCTCTTCTCCCTTACCTTCCGTCTTCGGATCATGACAGATTGAATCAGGGTACCGCACCTTATGTCAATTCCTGGTCCACGATTTCATTAGAAAGCGAAGACATTTTCCGATGTGACCGTTTCCCCCCTTTCATTAATATGCAGAAAGGTCAGCACCAGCCTTTTTCCGATCCCCGCTGTGTTTCCAATCTGCTTTTCTTCCGAAGCACATCAGCACTTTTTTTTTTTTTTTTTTTTTTTCCCCTCCCTCCATCTCTGCTTCTCCTCTCCTTCTCCGGATCAATTAATCATGCCTGAGAACGGAGGGCGCTATCCTGAGGTAATTTCCTGGGTGTTGAGTGGGTGATCCATTAGCCCTGCCTGATAAAGAAACACACTGTTCATGTCAGGAGCACCTTTCTCCTCTCGTCCTCTCTCCTCTCCCCTTCTTCTCTCTGACCCTAAAGAAGCAGGTGCACGTGCCATAATGGTGTTGCGCCCCCACTTTAATAGTCTTGGATGATCTTCAGCAGACCCTGGTGAATGAACAACTGTGATTAGCCACTAAACACACTCTTGTACTGTATATGGGGGGGGGGGAAACACAACCTTTCCATATCCAGGAGGAGGTAGTGTTAGCCTAGCGATTAGCCTCCATTTTGAGGCACATTCAAGAAGAGAGAAATTAACAAGTGGTTTTGAGAAATCATTTGTCAATTGATTTTTATTTTTTGTACATAGCTGCTTCCTGCAGCTCACTTATTTATGTCGTTTCAGAGCAATAAGTGCCGCAGAATTACACCCTCCTCGCGATTAACTGAATTCTCGGTGGCTCGAGCCCTCAATTTGTGTTTGTGTTCGGCACGGGCCGCGTTTCCTCTGAAGAAGACTTATCGGAATATGAAATGTTAAATAAACAATAATTTGTTAGCCAGCACTTTTGTGTATGTATGTTTTTGTGTGTAGAAGCATATTAATATCAGTTTTTAACGTGGCCTTGTTTGTTATTTCTCATTTTGTCACGTCATTTTTGTTCCATGTCTGTTTTTTGTGTGTGTGTGTGTGTGTGTGTGTGTTTTTGCATGTGTGTCCATTTTCCAAGATAATAGTGTATGCAGGCAGTAATGCATGGGACAGCCATCAAGATGCATTCTGGGATTTAAGGAGAGCTTTAAAAGTGCCGATCAGTGGTAAGGTGTCTAGAATCAACACGTATTAGAAAAGAAATCAAAGCATGACACAGAGACTGAACATAAAACTTTTCCATGCTAGCACAGCACTATCCGTCAGTCTCGAAAAAGGGCTTTCACTCCTTTTTTCTTTTTTGCCACAGCAATTGAGCTTTTCTATTCATTTGTAGTAATTTCAGTTAAAGATGACTGGTGCTTTCTTTTAATTGAAATATATGAGAGGAACATCTGGGCTGTCGAAGAATAATTAAATTGCGACGGTATTTCACCTTCCCACAGTGCAGGCAGTAATTACAGAGTTTTTGGGTTGTTAAAGGCAAACGAAGTGAAGTGATTGTGGCCTTTGCTGTGTTGGAAGACTCAGCAAGGAAACTGATTGGCTGTAAACTTGAAATAAGAGGTAAGAAAAAATAGTGTGAGCATATCAAAGCTCAGCAAACAAGACTGCACAGTGCCACACTAGTTGTAGAACCCTGCAGTGTAACTGCTGCACAGCTTGAACACAAGGAAATGGAGGAATGTGTGAACCCCCAGGTCATCGGGGAAAAACAAACACACACACACACAAGAAACATGAGGCCAACGTCTCAAGGTTATGTTCAACCCCAAAATACATAAATAATTCATGCACGTTATTTCACAATAGAATAAGAGTGTTCAATTGAAAAGCAGTAAAAAAAATCAGCTAACTGCCAAATTTAAGAGTAAAAAAAAGTTATTCTTTTTTTTAAGAATATTAGTGCTGAAAAGCTCCCGAACACTTCAATCTGTTTGTGTGTTAAATGTTATTTCCGCACTATACTCTATAAATCGTCCATTCTAACAAGGGCCTTTTGAGCAACAGTGGTGTTGAGAGTATGGCAGTATTTCTTCTGTTTGGCTTCAGGGCCACAAATGAACTCCAGAGATCTGGCTTTGCATGTTTTGCTCTGGTCGGAGTGAAGAAAGAGCTCTGCGAGGAGTTCATTTGGGTGCAGCCTAAACTCATTTGTGTCAAGGAGCGGCTGCAGGGAGCAGATTTGCCTCTGCCACTTCTCTGTGAGGCATCAGAGCAGAACGAGTCAGAGGAAGGAATAAAAGAAAAGGAAGGGATGAGGGGAGATGACTCTGACTGTCCCTCCTCCCTCAACCTGACTCATCCCGTGTCACCACTCGAGTCGTCCTCTCTGGGCAATTCTCTCCAGAGTTCCTCTACCTTTCCCTCCTTATCTTGTCTTCATATTCCTCGCTCAGCACCTTCCTTTCTATCTTCTGTGTTTCTCCAGCCAATCTCCATCTTTTGCCTGTTTCTCAATCACCCTTCTCTATTGCTCCTTCTACCTCCTTCCCTCTTTTTCATGTCTTCTTCCTCCCTCTCCATCAGTCTCTCTCTCCCCCACCGTGCATAAAATTCATTTGTTTGAATGTCCAACTTTAACACTTAAAGGTTAGTTGTTGTGAAACTTCTGCCCATTATTTCAACATGTTGTCAAGCAGCTTGTGTTGGCAATATAATTGTGTGTCAGGCTTTTGAGTGGGAACACTGACCTTCTCCCAGAGCGTGTCTTTCCGTTACCCAGCCGGCCTGTTAAATTCCTTATTGCCCCCTGGTCAGACGCAGACCGATAGTCCAGTTTACATATTGTTTGTTTATTTCTTTTCCTTTACCTTTTGTTCACACAGAAATACAAGCACTGTCCTGCACAAACCTCCAACTTGTTATTAAAAATCAGTACAACCAGTTTGTTATTAAAAATCTAAAAGTTTTTTCCCCTGAATCCAACCCGAGTTAGCCAAGATTGTGTCTGGGAAGTTAAAAGTATGTATCAGCAACATTGCTAGCGTTCTCTCACTGCACTTGCACTTACTATTTTAGTAATCCAACTATAAAGCACAGAATCTGTTTCTGTGTGTGGGTATGTCAAGAACCGTTCTTGCCATTCACTTCATGCAATGCATGTTGATGGGGACCCAAAAGAGAGAGCAGTGGTAAATCTGGTGCAATTTAGACACGCGACACATTTAATATCAATAAAAAACTTTGAAAATGCAAGCTAACAGGCTATGTGCAGCCGCGAGGGCGGAGCTTCAGGGCTCTGTGGACTGACTTAAAGCATGCACTTCTTCACAACACCGTAGATATCACAAAGAAAACCATAGCAGTCAGCTAATAACCAGCTGATGAACCCTAGCATCCAGCTACTGCCCATCTAGTACCACCCTGCGAAACACGCGAGCGAACACCTGGAAACAACCACAACAGTCTATTTTCACCCTGCAAACAAACTAGTAGCTACACCTTGCAATGTTTTAGTAACGATATAGAATACTATACGTGCACCAAAACACATGCATCCTCTGGCTTCAGCAGTCAACATTTCACACCTTGTACATTTTCCTGTGCTGCTTTTTCCTACTCGTGATATCTCTAATGTATACTATGATCGTTTTAATGTTTCACTACCTGCATGAATAGATTTAATTCCCAAAAAAGCAATTTCTTCCAATTTCTGCTTCCTGCCTCTCATAAGCCCGGCGATATATACGCGTAACAGAGCTGCCGTCCCCAGCGTATAAGGCCGTTTGAAGTGTCGGTGAACTGTACATTTCGAAAAATCCGCTGCTTTGAAAAACTATATGATCAGCATGTTCAGTACTGTAGCCCGCTGCTGACCTGTTCAGTAGAACATGGCGGTTATTGACTCAATCTCCGAGCAAATCTACCGTCTGTGGCTCGTCTATTACTCAAGCTGGTCTTATGCAGAACAGATGGTATCAGTTGGAGGGAGTTCAATACAAACTTCGAGTCATTTCTCTTATAATTCCAGTGTTTAAGCTCCATAACACCCCCTGTTAGCTACACAGAATAATACCCATCAGGCCTCTGAACTCATTCCACACCAGTCTTTGTGTTCTGCCTCTTTAAGTGAATGAAATGGTTGGAAGCTGGTAGTTTGAGCTTTATGCACGAGGTATGATATTTAAAGAGAGTGAGAGTGACAACGATATCCACTTTTTGACAGTGTGCTTGCTCATAGCACTAAGAACATCGCGGGTGTGGGTAAATTAGAGCGGTTTGCAAAATAGCTTTTTATGTTTCTTCTGCAGAGTGGGGGCTCCTCTAAATCCATCTTCTCCCTGTACTGTCCTTTGTTCCCCACACACACTTAATTATAACACGGCCTCGGCATTTCGTGTGTGTGTGTGTGTGTCATGGAGAGTGCTTGGCTCCATAAAATATTCATGGGCAGCATTCAGCGACATTATTCCTAACATAAATATTGCATTGGGCCTTTAAATACCTTTTGTTTCAAGGCGCTTGGGTCGAGTCCGGACAGGTCTGTCAGAATCGATCCCGCCAGGCAGACGGGTAGATGGTACGTTACCGAGACACACCTGTAGATGACGGGTAGACGGTACGTTACCGAGACACACCTGTAGATGACGGGTAGACGGTAGATTACCGAGACACACCTGTAGACGACATTAACAGGGTGAAGAGCTGAGGGGAGGGACGGAAAGGAAAGATAGAAGACATTGTTATTTGTTTGAGGGTAATGATATTTGAAATGATTCTCTGTGGAGGAACAGGTGATGATGGATTTGAACCAGCTCTTGTAGTGTTGAGCGCCCGTCATTTTCCACCATGCCTGAATTTTTCCTTTGTTGATGCCCTGACTATAGTTACTTAACCCAAAGTAGCAGTATCGCAGCTACTCAACCTATGAATTTTCCATATAAACTGCCACAGATCTAATCTGTCGGCTTCAAAAGATGGTGTCCTAAAATAGCTTGGAGTATTTCTTTTCATGGTCATCTCCTGAAAATACCGAGTCACTTTCTCGCACCCCACTCCTTTTTTGAACGAAGACCTCACTGTCTTTCCAATGCTTCTGTTTCCAAGGCTCGATCCACTGAGCCATCAAACACACAGGTTACTGGGCCACGATTATCCTCACTTTATAGCCAGTACTGGGGCCAAACATCATCCACTCATCCTCTGAAAATGTTTTTAGGTGCCGTCTCCCCCCTCTCTCTCTGTCTGACTCCATTCTCCATCCTCTACCTCAAAGCCCCCCCTTTTCCGACCCAGTGCCAATCTTCTACAGTCGAATGAAAAATGCGTCCAATATCCCAGGGACAGGGCAATAATGAGTGGAAAGCAATAGAGGTGAAGCAGACAGATGGCATCCGGCTAGTGATAGCAGTCTTTGCTTGGGTTAGCACTTGTGAGGAAGTCAGTCGAGGGGACTTTTATTTTTTGCAAGGCTGTCTGTTTTCTCCCCCTTTGTCTCACTCGTCCAGGTTGTAGCTTTTGTTCGCCATAACATTGACATGTTTCAGTTTACTTTCAGGTGATAAGTAAAGCTAACAATGTTCAGTTTTTTTATTCTTTTTCAACCATTTCTTTGAATCTGCATCAAAATCGTGGCATCTTGGTATTTTTTCCTCTTTCTTAATTAGTATGGTTCAGCTTTGCCTCACTGTCTGTCATGTCTGTTGTTCCGTTGCGACAACCGAACGGGTAAACAAAAGGAGCTTTTTGCACTCCTGAGTGTCAGTGCTGCTGACAGGTGCGTAGGAGAATGCCGGTTGTCCTGAAAACATCTGCACACATTCAGCACTTAAATAATTTAATGAGTGCAGGCAAAGTTTTTGTGGCAAAGCCTCATCAGGCACGGTGTACGTGAATTTGCTTTGGTAGAATGTATTTTTATCGTACTGTAGTAATAATTGTTACTATAAATATACTGTACATCTGCCACAAAGGTCTAAATTCCGTGCTACAAAAGGTCAACTGATTGCTAATGCTCATCCGCATGAGTACCGACAAAGTCCATTTCTGAACAAAAAAAGCACCTACGCTGTCACTTCTCTGTTATAGTAGCAGCTGAAGCTTCTTGAGTAAAGGTAGCTTAGGTGCATTAGCGGGGCAGGCAGGCAGGCAGGCAGGCGTTGATTGTGGGGAAATGGTGAATGTAAAAGGCCATTAGGAGGCTCCCTGTGTGTGTGTGCGTGTGTGCGAGGAGTCGGAGCCCGATGATGGATGGAGTGTGCTGACGTGTGCAGCCCACTGGACTGTGAGACTGGACATGGCTGGTCTCTCTCCGTCTCCCTCCATCTCTCTCTCTCTCTCTCCCACTCTCAGCCTCACTCCCTCTTTGCTTCACTTCCTCAGGGCCAAACATGTCATGTCGCCACCGCTCGCTCTCGCTCCGTCCTCGCTCCCTTTTTCCTGTCTTTCTCCCCTCCGTCTCCCCCCCCACCCCCTTTGCTCCCTGACATTTAGTGGTGTTGCGGGGCAAATGGCAGCTTTAAGACATCAGACCTATTTTTATTAGACCTACCCGTCATCTGCTCGAAGCCAAAGGCATCGGGATGGTGATCAGTGAGAGCGGTCTGTCCGTCACGATTCCTCCCCGTCTGAATGTTGTGTATTCACAGGTGAGTGGAGGGATGAATGAGATTTAAAAAAAAAAAAAAAATAGAATAAAAGATGAAATCCTTTCACACTGACGGATCAGTGGGAGTAATAATATAATATCAAGAAAAGGAGAAGAAGCCACATACCACACACTTGACAACCAGGATGAGCGATGCACAAACCTGATGAGTCATGCATTTCTCTTGAGTGATCATTAATGCAACAAAAAGTCTCCTCCCTTTTTTTTTTTTTTTTTTTTAAAGCAACTTTTAAAATAAATAACTATTGTGGTTTCCACTGTAGGCATCATACATAAACTGATGAATTAGACCTTTAATCTACTGATGGATCACAGACAGTTCATTTGAATGTAAAGGAATTTAATATTGAAACGTTTTTGCTATCTGGGGAATAGATCACTAAACCAGTCGGCATCACTGTCAGGCAGCTAACTTCTCATCAAGGCTGTCGTTCAACGCCATCTCAGGGTTTTTCTTCGGCAGAAGTTTATTAAAGATCCTCGTCATCTTTACTCAGTCTGTCATAATTGTCAGGCGCTCGCTCTGTCTGCTCGTGTGTTTATTCTTCCTCATGCCACCGCTGTTTGATTCCTAGCAGAGGAAGACTTTCAGCGTTTCGGGGAGACGTCGTTCCTTCTCTTCTCCAATCAAGCACGCTGTCTCCGACGCCGGGTAGGGAGTGCGTTGCTAGGCAACTATGAGAGCCCAGTGACAGGGTTCAAATGGTGGTCCTGTATCTGCAGAGAGCGCGCTGCCTCCGTCTACATCATTGCTTCACTGGGTTGGGGAAAACGGTGCTTACTCTGTCTATTAATGACATTCAGATTCCTCTTGAATGTCAATTAGTCCATTTTTTTTTTTTTTTTTTTTGACTTCTCAGTGTTTCCCCCTCTTTGCAAGCAGTGGAATACCACCGACATGTGTATGGATGACAGGGTTGAAAATCAATACACAATTTGTGACCTACATCTATGCTTCATTAGCACTGCACTTGCATTTGTGAACTTTTAATTCATTTGTGAGACACTGTAACACCAAAGATACTTGGATAGATAAAGCTTACTATCACGTGTCCCTGAAGCCATTCACTACCTGTGTTTAACAAGATGATCTTAACATTTTGAGCAATATAGACCTGTGGTTTTTTTTTCAAAGGTTTTTAGTTTCAAAGTTTCAAATTGCAAAACTTACCAGAAAGAGCTTATGGTTCACCATACAGTACGTAAAGACACAGGGACCTCGGTCTGCAGTGCAGCAGACGATGCACAACATACTGTGGACTGCATAATACACTGAACACTAAAAATTTGAGTAGCAAGTCATGCATTATAGAGATAGCTGTAGGAGAAAGAATAGTGAGTAGCATATATGTTGTAGTGTACAGTGAGGTGCATTCTTCTTATTATACCCTGAGTGCAGGTTATATGAGGTTGTGCAGGGTTTTTCATGAATGTATAACGTTTAGAAAATGGGTTAAAACGTGTTTTAATCATGTCAAATGTTGATGCTCCACAGGGTTGAGGCGGAGAAGGCGCGGGCAGCAGCCCAGGCTCAGGATGACGCCCAGTCCATGGTGCAGGCTGAAGTGTCCAGGATCCTGTCTGTGGAGCGGGCCGCAGGCCAGGAGAGCATCCAGCAGGCTGTGATAAGAGAGAGGATCGCCACCGAGGACGACAAGCTCCGCGCTCAACTCTATGTAAGTCTGGTTTTTAAACGAACACGCGCGTTTATATACGGCACGCTATTGTGAACTTTGCCATCTTATTTCGTCTTGTAAAACAGTTTTATACGTTTTCGCTCGCCACACTATCAAACAGACATTGAGCATTTTAACTGCCCGACCTTGTAAACGTGGACTCGGCGATGCGAGCGATTTTTACATGAAGACGGGTCATTTTACTCTCGCACGTTGCTGCTCTATCACGCAGACACATGGGTGATCCTCGCCTGCTACAGTGACAAATGTTAGGGCTGTGAGTGTTTGAGCAGTAGTACATAGAACTGTCTTGACTGTGTCGACACACACACACACACACTCTCCCTCCACACACACGTTGTTTTTTTCAAAGCTTAATCTACATAATGCAAACTCAGGGTGCAGTTTAAGTTGATTCTAAAAGAACCCCTCTTTGCTGTATCCACATCTTGTGGTTTGATATGTTTGCCTTCGTTTTGGGCGGCCTGTGTCTTTATTTCCTGTAAATTGCCCTCGTAAACATTGTCAGATGAGCGTTCCTTAACACACACACACACACACAGGCAACAGAGTATTGTTTTCAAAAAGAAAACACATTTTCCCTCGAGTGCGGCTGCTGTTTACAAACCTATGCTATTGATTATATAGCTCATTTCACACGCTCATCGTCATAATAGAACAATGAATCATTTTGTAGAGAGAGAGAGGGATGGAGGGAGAAGGAGCGGAGCGTTGACGTGATTCCATGCCGCAGGACAAGTGTATGAGGGATCCCTCATTTGGAACTGCGATCAAAACGAAAGGGAGAAAAAAGAAAAAAGGCGGCGAGGGAGACTCATGATGTCAAGTGTTATTCCCTTCAGCATCTGAGAAGAAAGCCGCTGCAGTTGTAGGTTTTCTGTAATTTAATTTCTGTTGTTTTTCATCAGGAAAGAGAAAGGACAAATGGTGGGAGGAGGGGGGAGCAAGGGCAAGCGTGTTGCACCTGCTTAGTATCTGTAAGATGTGAGCAGCACCGTGGGGGGGGGGTTCTACTGAACTGTCACATGAGGAGAGTCCTTGTGCGTGTCATTGCCTGCACACTCCCGAAGTACCGACTCCTTGTACTTAAGAGAACTTTTCCTCCGGTGCGCCGCGAAGCTTTTGCTTGTGGGCCCAGGGCTAACCTTCGGGCCATTAGCTGCCTTTGAGACTACAGACAGCTGCACTGCGGTGGCAACGCATTCAGTATGTGACTGAGCATACCAACACAGTCATATACAGTCTTTGTCTGTAACTTATATTTCACACACGCGTTGCAGCAGGAGTTTTTATTTTTTTTACTGTCTTCACAATTGTGCGAGCGTGCCCGTGCCATAATTTCCTCAGTTTGAGCCTTCTTTTGGAGTTGCTGCAGTTTTAATAGAAGCCGACAGGTTATCAGTGGAGGCACAGTGCCGCTCGCACCACTCATGTAATTGTCAAGGCAGACGCTTCCACACAGCTACCGTTCCTTTCAACTGGAAATGGACTTTTCCTTTTTTTAAAAGGCAGCCTCTCGCCCAACCACCACCCATTGTCATTTCAGTCCGTTTGTCTGCTACACACGGTGAACTCGTCTTTGATGAAACATAACGCATGTTTTAAGGTATTTTGTCTGTGTGTGTTCCTGTCTCCTGTCTGTCTGTCTCAGTGTGAGACTTTATTTATTTTTACTCCAAAAGAGAAAAAACAAGAGCAGAATGATGTCAAATTTTACTCAAAATATGCCCAACAAATCCCATTTATATTTACAAGCACATCAGCATCGGTGATTGGAAGGTGAAAGTGGTTCCGATTGCTGGGCAAAGTCGATAAGTTGATCGAGAATAGAGCTGCAGGGGGAGGTTGTGGTTTGCTGTGCTAAGCACATAATCTGGTGTCTGATGGAGCTTTCAGAGGTGATTTGTTCAGTCCTTCTCCCAGTAAACCTGTTAACACCTCATGTATTATCTTATAGGCTACACTGTTATGTCCTTGAGCAATAATCACTATATAAGATTAAGATTAACTCTTTTTTTTAATTTTTTTTATCTCCATTATTTTTTTCCATGAAATATTAAGCTTGTTGGCTGAATCTCACTGCACAAAAACAGTGGGCTTCACCCTTATTTGATAGAAACATTGGATCTTTTCCTCTGATTAACTAAGTGAAAAATATACTTTCAATCAAATATTGATTCTTGTGGCACATTATTCTCCAGTGTTCCCTGAAAACCACTGAAACAGGTGAGAGTGTTTTGGAAACTGCTGGATTTAGCTCAACCCACGAGCAGCTTTGGTGTCAAAAGAAAGTATATTTTTCAGTTGTGAGAAGTGAAAAAGTTCAGAGGGCGTCGACTACATGAGTAAACATTGCATCTGTCATCCATCAATCTGTCTGTCTTACTGTGGAGGACTGGGTTTTTGTTTCTGTTGGTTTTAATAAAGACAGAAAAGAGAAACGGGAAACAGGGAGAGAGAGACTGATGTCACGCAAGAAAATGTCCTCAACTGGACTTTGTCAAGGCCACGAGGAAGCTCTGGAGGAGTGATTTTTGAAATATGAGCAGCAACAACGGTGTAATGAAGCAGGCTGCTGTCTTAAACTATAAGATCATCTGTGGGAAATAAGGAAAAAAACATTGCTTTCCTGTAAGAACGAAAAAGAAAAATAGAGTACTGTAGGAAGGTTAACTATGAAGTCAGAACTTAGTATTGTTGTTGTGTCTGTGACCTGAGCCTCTGCTCTCATGTTCATTGCCACAGAAATAACATTTGTCTACTGCAGCTGCCGGTGTGTTCTTTGTCCAGCGTAGTATTGATTTGTCCTCCTCATTAAGATACAGGTCACGGTGAGCAGCAGAGGACCCCATACAGCC